TGCACATCTTTTTCAATGGTCACTCATCCATATTGTATACATATCAGATGCAAGGATTATTATTATTGAATTTTTTTTATTCTAATATCTGTTTATTATCCAAATTACTGTCAAAAGAAGTAAGAAATTTGCCCAATATGTTTTTTTTCCCAGAGTTAACAGCAGAGACATCTTGGCTCTGAACAACAGAAACCTTATTTGTTGGTTAGCTTTCTTTTCCTAAAATATAAAATCTCATTTGTCACAGTAGAGATACTACTGTGCTTGGCGAGGACCTCTTGGGGTAGAAATGTTTCTGCTACTAAGTGCTGCCATGTTGGCACTTCATTTTTAATGCGATATTGTACATAATCGTTTAAACATACATTGGACTATAATATCAGATGTTAATCCGAGGCACCGTCTGCCTATTCAGGTGGACGTTAAAAATCTCATGGCACTATTCAAAAAGGGAAGGGATTTTCTCCCAGTTTCTGGCCAACAATCCTCCAAATAAAAGATCATTTACTCCATGGCTGTTTGTGGGACGTTGCTGTGTGCAAATTCCCTGCTACATTTGCCCACAAAAGACACAGTCACTTTACTTTGCAAAATATCCTGTGAAGCACTTTGGTCCATCTTCCTAATATGAACGGCACAATAACAAATGCAAAGATTGTTATTAACAATAAAATACGGCAATTACTAATGGGATTTTTTAATAAGGAATCCAAGCAAGTTTTCTTCCGGAAAATAGAAGCACGTGAGACTGACCTATGGTTACTCGGTTTTGCAGAAAGATTGTGTCAGAGCAGGATTATAAACTTCCAGTTTTCCTAAGAATGAATCCTGTTAGAAATTAATGCTAATATATAGCCCCCATTGTCAATATTAGTATACCTATCAGTAAGATTGATTTCACCCCATTCCTAGGATGTTAGCATTTATTTATTTAGTGTTAAAACCTAGGTTATTATAATTTACCTACAAAATACACAGTCACTATGTTACACACACATGTGAAAATACTTCGAGATATGCTAGACATGTAAAAGGCATCATATCAAAATAGACATGTGGTTATCCAAATGAACAGGAAGGAAGATACCGTAATGTGATAAGGGTTTCAAAATTTCCAGAGATAATGTGAACAGATAACAAACAATGCCAAGTTACAATACAAGTTATTTATTTGTAATAGGCAATTGTTTCTTAATGAATCACATGAATCAGGAAATAAAGACAGATCGTAGATTTAATAGTTTATCAGAAATGATGAGTAACTTGGAGAGGTGAACAAAGGTATAGTTAAAACCAAGACCAATGATAAGGCAAATCATTTGTGCAAGAGTTTAGGAGAGCATTGTTTGGGATGGCCAAACATTTTAAAATGTAAGAATGTTAAAATGCAACATTGCTGTAACATACGTTACAGCCAAACAAATTTTTGGTGGCAGTTTGATGTTATGTTCCTCAGGGCTCTGTCCTTGGTCCCCTCCTCTTCAATATCTATATGCTCCCTCTTGGTGACATCATCCGCAGACATGGGGTCAACTTCCACATCTACGCGGATGACATCCAACTCTACCCTCCACCCTTGCCTCCAGGACCACTGCTATCCTGACAGAATGTCTGTTAGACATTAAGTCCTGGATGAGAGCTAACTTTCTACAGTTGAATGTCAACAAGACTGAGGATCTCCTGATTTGTTCCTGTCAGTGCCTCCTCACCTCAGGCACTGGCAGGATCCCATCCACGGATGCACACTCCACCTTGCTAAGCCAGTCTGGAACCTTGGATCTTGTTTAACCCTCAACTATCCTTTCTACCCCACATCCATGTCATGACCCGTTCTGCCTTCCCCCACCTCCGCAACATTGCCCGGCTCCGACATTGACTCCCATCAGGCCTCTAACACCCTCATCCACGCATTTATTCCATCAAGGCTCAACTACACCAACTCCCTGCTTGTTGGCCTTCCCAACTCTTCCCTCCACAAGCTGCAGATTATCAAGAATCTCCGACACCAGGCTCCATGACCCTATTATCCCCAACTCACCCGACACCACTGGCTCCCCATCCCCTCGAGGATAGTTCAAAATCTTCATCTTCGCCGAGTTCAATTCCAGGCAGGGCAAAACCTTGGGTAAGTTTCCTTACTCCACACGCCTAATAATAATCCCTCAAAAAAAAACAATAATAAATTGGTCATTTTCAATCCATGGCTGTTTGTGGGACACTGCTGTGCGCAATTGGCTGCCGCGTTCGCCCACAAATATACAGTCAATTCACTTTACAGTATATTCTGTGAAGCGCTTTGGGACATCTAGAAGACATGAAAAGCGCTATATCAAATGCAAGGATTATTATTATTATTATTATTTTTATTCAAGGCCCTTGGCGACCTTGCTACTTCCTACGTCTGTGACCTGTTAACCCGATATCAACCTGTCTGCTTCCTCCGCTCAGCAGGCTCTGGCCTGCTCCACATCCCCCGCCTGGCCCGCCCCACCATCGGTGGTCAGTCCTTCAGCTTCTCTGCCCCCACCCTTTGGAACTCAATCCCCCACTCCCTTTCTCTTACTCCCTCCCTTTGCCTTTGTCTTCCTCACATCTCAAGACCATCCTCTTTAACCACACATTTGGCCACCCTCTTAGCTTTAAAATTCCTGCCCTCCAACTCCCTGATTGGGTCCAAATCCCTGACGTCCAGCACCTTGGGATATACTCCTGACGTGAAAGGCGCTATACAAATGTAATTTGTTGTTTGTTGTTGTGTGGAACCTTATCAAATGCCTTCTGAAAGTCAATCTGATGTTTAATGTTGATTTTTTTTCCAACTGGATTCAATGCTGAAATAACAAAAGCAGACGTTACCTGTTGAAATCAGCTTCATAAGTTGCCAACAATACAGCCCCAGTGTCAATCTGGACTCAGAATACAAATTCCGGTGTGGTGTTTAAACCCAGGCACGCCTGACTGGCTGACCCAAAGACGAAAGTCGTAAATTGAAACTCTCATGCATATTGTACATAGAGTTTATGCATTTACAGTCATAGCCCACCCTCTCCCATTCCAATGTCCTAGGCCTGGGAGAGCGGGGCTGGTATGAATCTTAAACATTAATCCAGGAGGTGGCGCTGCTGTTAAGCAAAATTTGACTTTATGCAAAGTTTTTAAAAATAACATCAATAACAACTTGCACTTATATAGCACCCTCCACACCGGGTAGCATCTCAGAGTGCTTAAAAGTGGCGGAGCCTGACTCCGAGCCGGGGGGAGGATAATGGTAAGCACGGTCAAAAAGGAAGGTTTTCAGTCGGGACTTGAAAAATGGGAGAGAGGTCAAGACGGAGGGATTGAGGGAGAGGGTTCCAGAGTTTGGGGGCGTAGCAGCTGAAAGCACAACCTTCAATGATGGGGTGAAGGGTGCGAGGGATGAGCAGGAGGCTGGTGCCAGTTGAGCGGAAGTGCCGGGTGGTGGATTGGGGAGTGATGAGGTCGGAGAGGGAAAGAGGTGCCAGGGAGTGAATGGATTTAAACACGAGTGTGAGGATCTTGAATTCGATCCGTTTGGTGATGGGGAGCCAGTGGAGCCTGGGCCAGAACTGGTGAGATGTGGGTACAGTGTTTGGTCAGGGTCAGTATGCGGGTGGCAGAGTTCTGAATGAGCTGGATCTTGTGAATAGTGGAGCTGGGGAGACCAGGGAGGAGTACGTTTTGAGTAATCCAGCTGGGAGGGTACAAACGCATACATGAGGGTTTCAGCTGCATTTGGGGTAAGATACAATCGGAGGCGGGCAATGTGCCGGAGATGGAGGAAGATGGTCTTGGTCAGGGACCAAATGTGGTGGTGGAAGGACAGTTGGGGATTGAACCAGATGCCTAGACTGTGCACTGGTTCAGTGAGTCTGAGGAAGCGCTCAAGGAGATTGAGGAGTTCAGATCTTCAGCGTTGACAGGAACCACGGAGTATGGCTTCCGTCTTGTCCACAATCAGTTGCAGAATGTTTGCTCTCATCCAGGCTCTGATATCTGCCAGACAAGCTGATAGAACATTGGCAGACCTGGAATCGATACTGGAGGAGGCAAAGTAGATTTGTGTGTCATCCCCATACGTGTGGAAGTTTACTCTGTGTCTGCCAAGAGGGAGCATGTAGATGAGGATGAGTAAAAGATAAGGGTGGGGGGTGGGGGAAGAGTGCAAATGTTCTGCTATGCAGCCTTGTCAAGAGGACAAGCAAATAAACTTGCTCAGGTTGCTTAACCTTGCCTCTGGATCGAGACTTTGATCTTACAGGCTCCAGTGCAATGCTGGGGGAGTGTTGCATTGTTGGAAATGCTGTCTTTGGGTGAGACTTTTAACTGAGGCCCCATTACCTGTTCAGGTAGATGGTAAAGTTCCCATGGCACTATTCTAAAAGAGCAGGGAGTTTCTCCCAGTGTTCTGGCCAACAACCTGCCAGACAAAATCGCTTTCACATCATGGCTTTTTGTAGAACACTGCTATTCAAATTGACTGCTGTGTTTGCCAACAAAAGCACAGTCACTATACTTTACAGTAAATCCTGAGAAGCACTTTGAAACTTTGGTGACATGATAAGACGCTACATCAAATGAAAAGCCGCCTCTTGGACATTCAAACTTGCACTTCAATTTCTAATCTGTGCTGAATTAGCTCATCTCAGCAGTTGGAGTGCTACAATTTTAACTTTGAGTAAAGGGGCAAGACATCAAGTGGAGTTCCTGATCCCACCTGCCAACCAGATACTCTCTCCTGAAAGTCTGCAAGTGTAGATGCTGAGTGAGAACATTGTAAACACACATGAAGATCGTGAAGGTGCGGGAGAAAGAAAGGTGACATCAGCAAGTTCCAGAAAGGAAATTAAATGTCATTAAGCCTGGAAAATTCTGGAGAAAAAAGCTGTCAAAGAAACAGAATGTAAAACAATGCTTGATATTTCTGCTTTCAAATATATTGGAGAATAAACTTAAAAAATGAGCAAACTCCTGTGTAACTGTATAAATATTTTATTTAATAGTGTTAGCTACAGCATCTGAGAACATTTGATAAAAACTAAAGGCCGAGTCAGCTACTACATGTATAGCATACTGCAGTATGAATATAGCTCAATAGGTCATCAATCCAGTACAGAAGTTATGTACTGTGAATTAGTTCAGGAACAAAGACGCTTACTAGTAACAATCCAGGTCAAATTACTAAACAAATTTACTATCTTTAAAAAATGTACAGACACACACTGTATACATACAACATTGCACATTAGATTCCCCTTAGCAAGAAAATGCTGTGAAAATATGGATTAACAAAACATGACAGAAAATGGGATGGATTACAGTCGTCCATTGAGGAAAAGCTGCCAGCAGCATTCCAGTTGCTCAATCCCATAACTCTCAGTCTCAGAGCCGGGTGTTATGTTAGTGCACAAAAATATCTAACACCTTATCGCTCCAGCAGTTTAAAATTTAAAGCCTTCCTCTCCCCCTCCCCCTCCCTTCTTCATTCCAGCACTCATTATTTATTCCAGTCCTTTAGTGAAAATCATAGTCCATAACAAGATGAGTTTTACTGTAAGGCACTTTCTCTGCTTAATAGCAGTGCAGTGTGTTAAGGCATATTGGCATTAGCGCTGATTAGGGTTTGGAAGGCCTGAGGAAATAGGATCAGAATATAATACTCTTGGAGCAGTAAGGGTCTGCTTGAATGTACCAATATTTCTCTTGAAAGGCGGCTGAAAGCTGGTTGAATTTAAATAGCAGTTCCATTGGCATAGCTTGTACATGGGGCACTTTCAACTAACGTCTGTGAATGAGGGCTGCCTGTGCAGGGCAACACTTAAGGGAAGGAAAAGTCACTGGTGGAACCGATTTCACCTGCTGCTGCACTGACTGCCCCGACTGCTTGCAGACCGTGAGGTGCTGTAGCGCTTCTTTACAATCATGCTGATGTAAGCTTTCATGAGCTTGGCGATGTCCACCACCTGCATTAAAAAAAGACAAGTTACAAGATCACAGAGGGGTGTGGATAAGAGATGGTCCTTTGGCCAACTCAATCTCATCCTTCCAGGATTCCAACCCTACCATCAATCTATTAGAACATGATGAGATTTCTTAAATGAGCTCAATGTCCTAACTTCAACGACCCTTGCTGGTAACCCACTCCAGGCATTAATTATCCTCTGTGTAAAGAATAAGTCCCTACGTGTGTCTAGAAGTTACTAGTTACAACTCTAAATCCATGTCCTACTACCTTGGTATATTTGAAAATATATTTCTGTTTTCTTTTCTTTTTCATTGACAATTGGATATACAGTAAAACTCACAAAGGTTGTATCAATCAGGACCATAACATTTAATGATTTACGTGAAATACGCATTGCAGGCAAACTGCACAACCCGTATCAAATCCGATTTAATCAATAAATGGACACCGTGCATGAATAATTCAATGCAGCTTGTAAGATAGACGGGTCAAGACTACATATCCTGCGTTTCAATGCGTCTTGACCCGTCATCGCGGGTGCACTTACTGGTAACCAAGGAATTACATTGAATCGCGGGAAATGAAGTTTTTCTGCGCATGCATCGAAGGATCAAGACTGCGTTTCCTGGGAATCAATGCAGCTGGCGCATGTGTGACATAAGTGGACGGGTCAGGATGTCATTGCCTGTGATTCAATGCAACTTGCAAGTCCGGGAGCAATGGAAGGTAGGGGAGCGGAATTAATTAATAATTAATTAATCGATAGGTAATTAATATGAGTAGTGCAAATAAATGTAAGTGATTTTGATAGGATACTGAATGGGACTTGAGAGAATGTATAATTTAGGTAATAATACGATTTATAAAGGTAAGACTTATGATGGTTTTACTGAACCTCAGTAAGTCCTTGCCAAGAATGTTTTCAAGATGGAAGAGTACTACCTTATTTAACCGTTCCCATGGCTCATGCCTCTAACACTGGAATTCAGTCCAGTTGCTCTCCTCTGAACTGATCTTTAGGGCTTGTCAATCCAGTTTGAATGCAGCAATAAAAAATATACTCCATATGTAACCTAATCAGAGCCTTTACTGATAGGAATATTGACCTTTCAATTGTTAAGCTAATTCTCCTTGGTCACATACACGCCAGGTTTTGCTGCGATGTTATCCAATTATCTTTGTTTAAAGTGAAACATTTTTCTGTGTATTCAGTGGCCCAATTGGATACAGTTTTGTTGCTTGAAGCATGGAGAGATTTTATACTATTTGTTTGCCTTTTCTTTGGTAGAGTACCAACAAATATATAATCTAGATGCAGCTTGAGGGTTTACTTGTCGTTGTTTTCATTCATTCACTCACATTCCATGAGTTCCTTACCTCTGTTGTATCAAATAGCAATTCCCTCTCATCCACAACAATTTTGTAGGTGTTTGGCTGAGGAGCTCCAAAGGAACGGATATTTTCATAAGGGAAGGTCTCCAGGGGTCTGGCCTCTCCACGCTTATATACTGAGACTGATTCCCCACAGATCCCCAGCCACAGGTCTGGTGGGAAACCACCTTCTTTACACTGAAAAAAATATTGGGATTTAATGGATTGAACATTCACATCAGTTCTCACTTCCAACCTCCACAAAACAAATTGAAACATCCAAAGGTATAAAAAATGACAAATGAAAGAATAATATTAACAATAATAATCCTTGCATTTTATATTTTATTACGTCTTCATGTACTAGGGCTGGGGAAAAGATGATTGAAAGTGCAGTCAATGAAGTACGTCTTGAGAGGGACCTTGAATGAAGGGAGCGAGCGAGTTGGAGGGATTCCAGGATGGAGTTCCAGAGAACCAGGACAGGTCGACTGAAATCCTGCCCGGCGACTATGTGGCAGATAGGGTGGACATGAGATCATGGATGAGGAGGGGTTTTCTTGCCATGGAATGAATAGATGTTCTGGAGGACAATGTGTAGGTGATTGGCAGCTGTGGAGGCTTCTGAAGGATGTGTGAGGGAAAGTAATGTTGGGAAGGATGGGATGTGAATAAGATCCCAGAACAGGCAAGCCTTGCAGTGAATCTGGGCAATGGGACAGTTAGGGTGGCTGCTTTTAGACAGTCGTCAGTGGGTGCTATGATGAGCCTGGTGGGGATGCCCAGGCTGGACCTCAGGGAGGCCGTACATCAAATTTAAGAGCTATATTTATTTTTCATGCTGAATAACCAATGTGCTGGTTCGGTTCTAGAAACCAAGAACTCAGCTTAGTGGAGGAAGACTATGGAAAGAGCAAAGTCATTCATGTTAGCTGTAATTGGTCACAGCTAGATTGTGCTTCAGTGAAAGAATTATCCATTGCACTCACCTCCACATCAAACAATGTGGAGCCATATCCACACCACTCCTTGATCAAAGCCATGTACTTCACCATGGCCTGCTCTTGGGTCATTCCTTGCACTTTCTTCCACTTGTCAATAATATTATCCTTGGCACCCGAAATCTCCTCCTTGACCCACATGTCCATCATCTGGTCATCCTCAGATTTCTGTTTACTGAGAGAGTTATTCCGGAAACTCCTTCTTAATGTTCCCTCCAAGAAGCTGGAACGCTTCTTGTCACCAGAGGGAGCAAAGGTCTTGGTTGATTGCATGATTCGCGCCTTTAACCTTTCCATTGGGAAAACCTCTTTCAGTTCTGGTACGGTTACATGTGAGGTGTAATCTCCCTGCAGGAACTGTAATCTTAAAGCAGCCAGATACTGAAGAGTCTCTTCGGGGGCAGGATAGTGACCTTGAATGGTAGCCTCATGAGCCTAATAATTCATAGAAAAAAAATTGAATGGTCTTAAAGAAAGGACACAATATATGGCTGGAGAGTTAACACAGTTGCTCATTGGGTTGCGATCCTGGGATTTCAGAAGCTCTATTACCATAGGGGATCCTGGTCCTGGAATCCCATATGGTAATGGTGTTCGCAAAATCCTGGGAACGCAACCCCTGGTTGCTCGAGCAGAAATGGTAGATTTTGTAAAACAGTTCATCAATAACAGTACAGTGAATTTGCATAATGTTAAGTTGCTTATTGTTAAAATCTGCATAATGTTAATACATAATGTCTGCCGGTCCCAGCCGTGCTTAGTATGTGTGTACACATTTGAATTTGTGCATTATTATAGCTGTGTAATGTTATAATTTGTCTAATGTTATTCAAATGTGTGACCCCAGTTAACAAAAGATCGATTAAGGTTATACCCGGTGTGGAGTGCTGCTGGAGTAGACAGGAACATCTCTCACTGGCACCTCAAATCTGGATCAAAGAGACAGATGGATGGTCCAGTGAGAACATGGGAAGGGTTGATGGACAGGTGGATGGCCTAATGGGAGCTTGGGGCAGGTTGTTGGAAGGCAGATGATCGAATGAGAAGAGTATAGTATTTTAGCGCCCATAGTGACTTTTATTTTTGTGATTCAATGCGGATAAAACAGGCGAAAATAACCAATTTTATTATAAAGTAACCCTTACTACAATAAAACTAAATAAAATAATGGATCTTTTATGTATTTTTCTTATCCTTGAATAGTAAATGCCTTCAGAACAGTCTGGAAGTGTTTGCAAGTATTTGAAAGGGAAGTTCTCCTATTCTTATAGTACAAATAATGTTATAATTTTGTCCTGTCGTACAGTTTATAACATTAAGCAGACTTGGCTGCATTAACTTTTTATTGTGTTTGGACTTACAATTAGATTAACAATAACATTTTAATGATTCCTTGTCCCATACCTGTTCAAACATAAAGGCAAATTCAACACTCTCTTTTGGCACATTATCGGTGTCAAGGAAGCAGTAGAGTTTGAAGTAGAAATTCCAGGGATTCTCTTCTCCTTCTGATTTGGCTACATATCTGAGACACAACAAAAGGTTTAGCACAACTAGCTTGTTATAAAATAAAACCATGTGATAAAAGATGATACCAATTCTTATGAATTTACGTCTATGAGGAAAGGGAAAAGGACATTTTATTTTTCATATTGGAAATGTTAGTGGTGATAATGGAAGCTAATAAAAGTTCATCTGGACAAGTAAGGTCTAATGTGTGCCAATTTCTAGGAGGATCACTTAATGAAGAAAGAGGAAGTATGTCATGCCAATCTGTAAGAAATTAACTCCAATGTTATTTACTTTTACCTGTAGTATGACATGATATTGGTGACGTAGGTTACGTTTCACCTACAAAATACAGAGTCAATCCACTTATATATTCTGTGAAATGCTTTGAGATGTTTTTGATGGAAGACAACTGGCAAATATGGTCAGAAGTGGGAAATTGAGGCTGAGATCAATCAAAAATAGGGTGGGTACATTGGGACAAGTGTTTTTTTTCCTGTTCCTAAGATGTTCTAAGTTTCCCGAGAGCATTTCCATCTTGTAATCTTGATGAGGAATGTGCTAAAATCCATCTTAATGCAGGACAGCCCCATTATGAAGTGATAGTTTGGAAGTCGCTATTCTTAGAGCCCTCCCGAGGAATTTATCAGCTCCAAGTAAATACAATCAGGGCAAGCTGAACATTAATGTAGATACTGTCAAGCAAGGGAATGAGCCGGAATGAATAGATTGTGTCAGTACCTTATTACTTAGTTTGCTCGATAGAGGGAGTCTGCAAATTTTTTTGTAGTAGGAAAAAGATCTCAAGATTCAAATAGAATCATAGAATTATACAGCACAGAAGGAGGCCATTTAGCCCATCGTGTCTGTGCCGGCTCTTTGAAAAGAGCTATCCAAATCAATTCCACTTCCCCGTTCTCTCCCCATAACCCTGCAAACTTGTCCTCCCCCAAAAATTATCTACTTCACTCTTAAAAGTTGTTATCAAATTGACTTCCACCACCCTTTCAGGCATTGCATTCCAGATCCGAACAGCTCGCTGTGTGAAAACATTTCTCCTCACCTCCCCTATGTTTCTTTTAACAACTATTTTAAATCGGTGTCCTCGGGTTACCGACGCACCTGCCAGTGGAAATAGTTTCTCCTTGTTCACCCTATCGGATCCCCTCATAATTTTGAAAACTATTAAGTCCCCTCTTAACCTTCTCTGCTCCAAGGAAAATAATCCTAGCTTCTCTAGGCCTCTACTCAACTGAAATCCCTAATTCCTGGTACCATTCTGGTAAATCTCCTTTGCACTCTCTCTAATGCCTTGACATCCTTCCTAAAGTGTGGTGCTCAGAACTGAAGACAGTACTGTAGCTGAGGTCTAACCAGTGTTTTATAAAGATTGATCATAACTTCCTGACTTTTGTATTCTATGCCCCTATTTATAAAGCCTAGTATCCCGTATGCTTTTTTAACAGCTTTATCTACCTGTCCTGCCACCTTCAAAGATTTACTTATATGAAACCCCAGGTCTCTCTATTCCTTCACACCTTTAAGATTATATTGCCTCTCCTCATTCTTCCTCCCAAAATGTATCACTTCGCATTTCTCCACATTAAACTTCATCTGCCATCATCTGCAAACTTTGTATTTGCTATACCCAAGTCCAGGTCATTTATAGAGATCAAAAAGAGCAGTGGTCCCAATACTGAACCCTGGGAGACACCACTGCACACTTCCCTCCAGATAGGAAAACAACCATTCACCACCACTCTCTGCTTTCTGTCTCCCAGCCAGTTCTGTATCCATGCTGCCACTGTCCCTTTAATACTGTGTGCTTCTATTTTGCTTACATGTCTCTTATGTGGCACTTTATCAAATGCCTTTTGAAAATCCATATAAACGATATCAACTGCACTGCCTTCATCCACCCTCTCCATTACTTTATAATAATAATAATAATAATCCTTGCATTTGATATAGCGCTTTTCACATCAGGAGGACGTCCCAAAGCGCTTTAAAAGTATATTTGTATTTTTTATTTGTGGGCGAACGCGGCAGCCAATTGCGCACAGCAATGTCCCACAAACAGTCGTAGATTGAAAATGACCGATTTTATTATTGTTTTGGGTTTTGGAGGGATTATTATTAGGCGTGTTGAGTAAGGAAACTTGCCCAAGGTTTCGCCCTGTGCCTGGAATTGAACTCAGGTCTCTCACTTGCAAAGCGAGTGCTCTAACCACTGAGCTACAGGACTCCAAAAAACTATCAGGTTTGTTAGACATGATTTGCCTTCAACAAAGCCGTGTTGGGTGTACTTTATTAACCCATGTTTGTCTAAGTGAAAATGTATTTTGTCCCGGATTATAGTCTCTAGATGTTTCCCCACTCCTGTCGTTAGGCTAACCATCTTATAGTTCCCGGGTTTATCCTTCTGCCCCTTTTTGTACAGGGGAGTAACATTTGCAACCTTCCAGTGTCCAAGGAGAATTGAAATATTGTGGCCAGAGCCTTCTCTATTTCCATGTTTACTTCCCTCGATAACCTAGGATGCATCCAGTCCGGACCAGGTGACTTAACTACCTTGAACACCATCAACCTTTTTAGCACCTCTTCTCGGTTTATTCTTATCTTATCCAATCTCTTTCCCCTCTCCTTCGATACTGTGGCATTGGCTGCATCCTCTTCTTTTGTAAAGACAGATGCAAAGTACTCATTCAGTACATCAGCCATGCCCTCTGCCTCCACAAGAAGATTTCCTCTTTGGTTCCTAATTGGATCCACCCTACCGTTGACTAACCTTTTTTTCTTTATATGCTTATAAAATACCTTAGGGTTCCCTTTTAGGTTACCCGCTAATCTTTTCTCATATATGATGTATTGACAATTTATAATGCAACACGATGATCTGAAACATGGGTAGATACTTACTTTTCAAACTTCGCCAAAATATCAGCCACAACTGTTCTGCTTTCAATTGCTTTATCGGTAGTACCGTTGTGTTCAAAAAGAGCAAACATGTTTCTACTGTCCTCCATTGCTAGACCACGGATCAACTTCTCAACAACCTGAAACACCAAAGCAGACGTCAAAGCATTGGTTCCATTTTACAAGCGTTTCTTTTCCTTTTTTTGGGTTTTCCCTAAGAAATGAACAATTCCTCCCCCTCTTCTAACAACAAAGAGCAAAGTGTAATCCCCTCTCCAACCTCTGCCAATATTGCTCTACGTCTTACACAAGGAGCTACGGAAAAGCTATTATTCTATTCCCAGTGAGGGGGTTCAGTCCTTTCCACAGTGATTCGCACTCCAGTGTAACTCGAGAAACAGGTGATGCCCAAAATTGTTTCTTGTCCTAGCTCTAAAGCCATTGCCTTCAAATGCAACAGTGGAATTTTAGAAATGTCTTAAATTCAATCTTTATTTGGAAACTTTTTCTACAGTTCTTTTTAAGACGTGTTGGCTGAGAGCATAAGAAATTGCAGGCCTCAAAATGGTAAATATAACCCTAAGCATCTTGTCCACAAATTATACAGCCAGCTCACCTTGCAATATATTCTGTGAAGCGCTTTGAGATGTCTCGAAGATATGATATGGGGCTATATGAAACGCAAGGATTATTATTAAACCTGCATCCACGTATACCCCATTGCACAGTGCACTGATGTTCCAATATCCTGTGGTTCAGCAAAACTCTATTCCTCCCATCCCAGATATACCAAGCCCTTATTAACCCATTCTCTGGAGTGAAGTCTTACCTCCCCAGCTGTAGTATGAGAATTAATTGTGATTTTGCAGGAGCCGCCTCCGTGGCAGTAAACAGTGGAGGTCATTTCTTGTCTGTTGATCAAGGCAAGTATTTCTTCCTGAGAAGGTATATACTCTCTCGTTTTGGTTTTCTTCAGTGATTCACAAATAAACATTGCATATTTCTCCATCTCGGTACCTGGAAATTGGTCTCGTATCCTACATACAAAAATTCAAAACAAATTGTAAGAGGAGCTAAATCATTTGGTAGTTACAAATACCCTGGAGTGGGAGCGAGAAGATTAGACAACAGAAGAATTATTTTACTTTGGTCATTCACTTCTTGGCTATTAGTTGCTGAACACAAATGTATGGTCACATTTGCCTATGAAATACAGTCACCACATTTTACAATAAATTCTGTAAAACGCTTTGAGATGTCCTTCTGACATGAAAAGTGCTTTGTCAACTGCAAGGATTATTATTAGGAATTATTATAAGAATTAGGTTGACAACAACAAAATTACATTTATAAAGCGCCTTTCACATCGGGAGGACGTCCCAAGGTGCTGAAGCATTAGAGTGGATAACCTGGGCAGATTTTGCACTAGGATTTGAGACAATCAGTGGCCTGAAATCTATGTTCTGAGGTTTAGGACCATTTAAGGTCATGCAGAATTTTGAAAAACATTAGATTCAGTCTGAATTGAGAAGCCAATTTTGGTGCAGCAGAAACTCAGCGTCTAAATTATGACTGTATTTAAGACCATTTACCAACATTTTGTACAACCGTAAAATTTTAAGACAATGGTCTTAATCCTAAAATCATGAGAAAGGTCAGGTTCTGGAGTTGCTCAGCAATGATGGTTAACTGGATTCACAACATGGTATATGATATATACCTCTTGAGGTGGAATTTGAGGTAACGGACCACAGTGCGCCTTGGCATAAATGTGCAGCTCATGCAGACAAGCAATTGCCAGTTGCGTAGGTTGGCGAGACTCGTTGGATGAGGGACTTTGTTGGTCTGTTTGATGAGCTGACAGTAGAGCTCATCTCGTAGGGTGCGCAGGTCTTGAGCGGTCTGCAGAATGCCTTGGATGATAGAAATATGATCGGATGAAGATTCCAGCTGCTGTAAGGAATTGAAGAGCTTGATGGCTTCATCTTGCAGCGTGGTATAGCCTTTTTCTTTCAACACTACAAAAAGATTTTACAACAAACATTGAAGCTTTAGGAGGAATGAACATGACAGAAATAGATTGGAGATTTTAGCCACAAATATATATTTTTTTCGGGTTTTGTGTCAAGTGAATTAATAATAATACTATTTAACAGGATATTATATTGGGAAGAATGTAAAATAAACAATGATCTTCGCTCTTTGTTGCCATCTAGTGATCTCTACTGGAAAGAGTTAATTTTGGGATTCTGTTGAGAACAGGATTGGGCTGGATGTGTAATGCCCTGCTGTGCAGTGGTCGAGGCAGAATCCATATTAGCTTTCAAAAGGGAACTAGATAGATGTCTAAAAAGGTGTAATTTGCAGGGGTATGAGGAAAGGCAGGTAAATGGGACTCAATGAATTGCTCTTTCTAACATCGGGCATAGACACAATGGGCTAAATCGCCCTGTGCCAAACCACTGTCCAGACCTGTGTGAAGAATGACCAGTTAGTAAATTACTGGAATCAAACTCCAGAAAAAGCAACCTTCTTCTTTACTGGCTTAATGGGTGTATGGACCTCGTCTAGAGATTCTCAGCTGTAGAGATCAGCATGGTCTGAGGTTCACTTCCATGTCTATGCCAAGTTACTGGAATTCAGTGAACAGAGCACATTGGATACATTGGGTTTGAGCAGGATATAGTTAGAACAGGAGCCTGCCACCACTCACATGTGAAGAATGGCAGCTTGAGTGAAATACCAGTGACGTCCATGGAATCACAAGCTACTGCGAAAGGTAGGCAGCAAATAAATCCCAGCACTCCATTGGTCTCAACATAACCAAAAAGACAGAACGTTCTGCACTATCCCCAATGTGAACCACAGTATAATATAGTCAGCTTTTGTACTTACAACTTAAATTAATGTCTCCGTACGGTAGTGGAAGAAGTGGAGAATGCAAAGGGTGGTGAGTATAACGCAGGATTGGGTTCCTCTTGTAGATTTGCTCTACAACTTCGACATTCAAGCAGTTTTCCTGATAGACCACAGACCAAAGATATCTCGGTTAGAACATTTTAAAGGGTACAGGATTTGGTCACTGTAACATCTCAACTGATTTAAAGAAAGAAGATTAAACTATGTAATAGTAACAGTCTCCCCACATACCACAATATATTGGAAAATATGTTAAATGTTATTTTACTTAAAATTGATAGTAGCACTCTGCCTTTAGCCTCGTGCGTCAAGCAAACATATTACACAGTTGCAAGTTCAATTCCCAGTCTGTGCTGAATAAGCTGATTTCAGTCAGGGAGCAGTTTGTGTGCTTTAATTGGCCTCAGAGCACATAAGCATGGGAGAGATGAAGGCCAGGATGCTGATAATCATCATCTAGCAACCGTGCTGTAAAACACGTGGGTGGGGATAGGATCAGGAGGTGACTCACTGTACAGGTTCACACATGGAGAATGACCCTTAAGCCAGAGAGCTGATGCTAACACGCCTCATCAAGAATCAATGCCTTAAAGTGAGGAAAGAAAAGGGAAAAAAACTTCTGGACAAATTGCCACTATTTTATTTAAAACCGTTTAATAACAGTGAAGCACATGGCATTAAAGGAAGTGAGTGCCCTGTATTCCGATACAATTCTAATTGCATTTCACAGCTGTTTCCTTACCTTGATGTCCTGAATGAGTTGCTGTGTGGGTGTATCAATAGGTACTTTGGTATCGATAACATTTTGGATGGCACCTGTCCACCTCATTGCCTCATTCAGCAGCTTTGTGTGAAGGCGATAGCAGTGCTTGCGACCGTACACTGTCACATTCCAGTAACCTGCCAGCCCGGGGTAAAGAAACTACATCAGAAGACGCAACAAAATGGACAGCAATAAAACAGATGTTTTATTCAAATCAAACGTGGAGTAGTTCAGGTGGAAAGGACTGAATTTCATAGGTGTTTCAGACATTAATAAATTGCATTTGAAGTACAATTCAAGCTAAAGAGAGAAAAAAAAAGCCAGCATTTTTGATTACTATGCAGTGACTCATGTTGGGCTTTGGCTGCAATGCCCTCCATGGCTTGATAGCCAACTGTGTCTAACCACTAGTTAGTTGTGGCAGACTCACATTCCAACTCTCTGAGCTCGTTGGACTTGCTGGCCCTATTGAACTGAACTAAAGCCAGAGCTAGTGACTTGAGCAGAGGAGGGGGGGAGGAAATTGGCAAAATACACCCGACATATTAACAACTGAACCATGTGTCGAAAAAAGGTCTTTAATGCCTTATGTGCTTTCCTGTTTATTTTCCACTAACGACCTCAGCATTCTAATGGGACACAAAAGCAGTTTTCTTTCAGAAGCCTTTGTGAAACTCCATCGGACAAAAATAAATTCACGCATAAACTGTGAACTGGGATCTTGCTGGAATGGAATTGAGGCACCAACTACTCACCAGTTTCTTTGAAAAATTTTTCATCAGGCTGCACAACAGAGCAGAGACTGTTGAGCACCAGGGTTCCCAGCTTCACGGCCCCACTCTCTGAGCTCTTGTAGTAATCCAGAGAGTTATGGGTCAGCACAAACCAACGCTTTTTCAGCTTCAGAGAGTTGTTTTTTCCACCGTTCCTTGCTTCCTTATGAAGCCACCCTATCAAAATGCAGAGACAGATTTTAACCATTTCACATAATCACTTACCATGCAGACAGTGAATGTAGAAGAAGATGGTAAGTAATCTCCTGCTGAGCGATTAGACACAACAAATTTCACAGTAAATTTCTACTGAATAAAATATTTTAAATAAATAGATGCTTGGCTAAAAATACTTTGCTGAGAGGTGATCAAGACAAAATTTGAACAATTTAGAATTAGGTATGTGATCTTTTATTTGTAAAAGGAAGCATTCTATTCAGAGTCTGATTTTTTTTGTGTTAATACGATTACAGAATTTTTTCTCTGCTATCGTTGTTTGAAACTCTGAAATTGGCCAAAGTGATCTTTTCATTGCGTTGCTATTCGTAGCATGTAATTGACCCCAGTATGAGTGGAAAAGTTCAGTTAGTGGAATTTGATAGCTAAGCTGCCAACATAAAACTCCTGATAGGTTAAATTCTGCTAAAAGCAGATTGCAAAAGGTTAAAAGCATTTGTAGCCTGATATATTTGCTCTGAGAGAGTATAGTGAAGGGCAATTCGATTGATAGATACCATTAGACACTTGAATGAATAGAGGAGGCTATGGAAGGAGGAAAATTCTGCTGGAGAAGGCTCAGGGGAGATCTTAATAGGTTTGCCACAAAATACAGTCAATTCACTTTACAGTACATTTTGTGAAGCGCTTTGAGTCGTCTCAAAGACATGATAAGACACTAAATCAAATGCAAGGATTACTACTACTAGCTCCGAGACGCTATCCTGCGTGAAGGGCACTATATAAATGCAAGTTGTTGTTCCAATAACATATTCAACATGGTCAAAAAAATCCAGAACAAGAGGATAAAGGTTCAAGCTCAGAAGAGGGAAAATGAACAAACAGTTCAGATCAAAATATTTAACTCAGAGAATGGTGACAATGTAAAATAGACTATGCAGGGATATGGCGGAGGTTGATTGAGACAGCAAGTTCAAGCAAGAATTACACAGCTATTTGGCAAAGATATTGATTTGAAGGGTAAGAGACATTTAATATTGTCTGTCCAGCACCTTTTTTTTGAAGCGCTCTCAGATTCTCACTGGTGAAGGGTGCAGTATAAATGCAAATTGTTGTTGTGGTGTAGGATTTTTATTTTTACTTTGAGACCAGTCAGATGAACTCAATAGGTTTTTTCCTAGTCATATGTATGACAATGATGTTTATGCTCCTACCTCTGACAACAAATTCCTGACCCTCTACTCTTGTGTCCCCCTTAGTCCTCTGTAGTAGTGTGATCCAGTGATGCATCTCCTCAGGAGTATCTGCATTGCAATGCACTACACGATTTGCTGTAATAATCACAAATGAATTGGATCTAGAAACACACACAAAAAAGGGAAAATGTTGGATTAAAAAAGGAACATACAGGCAAGTTACAGAATAAGGAACAATGTTGTATTGGAATCCAGTTGAAGACATCGCCCTCATTTCTGATTAATTGGGTGAAGTCTTTCAAACCAGAAAATCCATTCAAGCATGTTTTATTACATCTGCTTACATCAATTACACTTTGAAACTGAGGTCTGCTGTATACTGAGTTTTTATAAGTGAAACACTTTTACCACAATGCATATCAAATGCACATGCTAAACCCTAAAGTCCAAGCCCCTGTGGTTCCTTGGCAGCCACAAAATGGGTGAACTAAGACGAAGAACTTTCTATATCACACTAAAAAAAATCTTAAAACTGGCAAAAACTCTCATGGGTATTCCTGGTTGCTGGGACTGGTTGGTGCCAGGCTGTGCCTGTGTGCTATCCACAGAAATCTAGGCAGTCAGACTTGCAAGTGCATCTCTAATACTTCTGGGTCCACAGTTGGCCGTGTTATAAACAGACCTGCTCTATACTGGGCGCATTATAAAATGGGACCTGACTGTATCATCACCATTGAATCCTGAAAGAAAACTAAACCACATTTTTGATTAGCCTGGTATCTGATATGTGACCCATCACTTGCGGTACTGTTATTCCTTAATCACAACTATAAAACTACTCCTTAACCTACCCCTAATAAGCTATTAAATTACAGAGAACAGTTTTCTCGATCTTGTTAGCAATTCAGATCAAGACAGTCATAACCATAAACTTATACAAGCGCTTTTAAATTCTGTAAATATTTAAACTGGCTCAGGTCTAATAAACATATCTTTTGTTTATTACCTTAATCTAGACCATAAATGTCACGTTTCTACAACTGCAAATTAAAAGTGTATGTGGGAGCAGATTCCAAGGCAGATTAAAAAAAACATTTTCTTCATAAAACACTACAGTATCTGCCATACTTCATTACAGCCATAAAGAAAAAGACTGATTTAGGGCTATGCTCTGTGTAACGGCTGGAAGTGAAGCTGTTGAAAAATGTCAGATTCATTGAACCTAAGTACGGGTTTGCTGGGAAAGGAAAGTATTATCTTACCTGTCAGGGTTATCCGAGGCACAAACTGAGTCGATCAGACCTACATCTAATGTACCCTGGACAAAAAAAAACACAGATAGATTTAAAATGACGATAGAATAATATCTTATCATAATATGAATATTTTAGAAAATATTTCATTTTCAGAGATTCGTATAATTCTATATGGGGATGGGGAAAGGGAAGGTAAATAGAAATGAAAGGATTGCTCTTTAAAAAGCCAGCCACAGACACGATGGGCCAAATGGCTTCTTCTGTGCTGTCAATTTCTATGGTTTCTAAGGCAATTGATGGTTCTGAAGCTGATCCTAGTAGTAGACAAAAAAACATGAGATTCTTTTGGGGGAGGAGGAGGGACTGAATCCTGAGTGATTTGTCTCAACAATTGGATTTTCTCAAGGTCTGAACCAAATCTGAATTCAGACAGACATAATCCCTACACCCAACCAGTTGTAGCAACAATGGAAGGAACATGGTATACTATAGGGTAAAACAGTGGACACAGAATGTATTTTAAGTGGACATTCCCTGAAACCCACCCTCCAGCGTCTCGGAGTGAGGAACTTACCACTGCATTCTGTGGATTTGCTTGCTCATCATGCATTTCTTTAATCTCTTGTTCAGTCGAACCCTGAACCTGACTCAGCACACTGAACCATTGGCTGCAACAAGAAAAGAGGAAGAAATTAGACCAGGACATTTTATGGCCCTTTTCTGGGTTAATTCATTGTCTGCAAATGGTTCTCAGGGCTGGAATATGTTTGGTAGTCTGAAGAGATCACAAGATTAGCATAAAAGAACTTACTATGACCAGCTCCCGTTGTCTGATCATGTGATTTGGGGCTTTGGCCCAAATGTTTTTTTAAAATCTTTTTTTGGTTAGTTGGGTGTCTGATACATGTGGAAACACATCACCATGCTTAAGAGTTTCCAAACCAAACTGAGAGTTCTACATACGCCACCTACACATGGAAATTCCTGTGTCTGGATGGAAAGTGCACTCTCTCGATTGAGGAAATGTACCCTGCTTACCTAATTCCAGAGAGTATTAGCTGCAGCTCGGCAAGAGGCAAGGCTTGGAGGTCTTAGAGTGTGTGGTTGGTACTGCTGGACTAACCATATAGCTTGCCATTGAGAGTTCTGTCTAGCCAGCTTTCCTGCTGCTTGTCCAGCTAGGATCACTAAAAATGCCCATCCCTAGTCCTGCTGATGTGCCAGACTGGCTTCTCTGTCATCAGCAGTTCCCTGAAATACTGTGTACCTACCTGGCTCAGAAAACAAACATGTGAATACAGTGACACTATTTCATATATCATGGCAAAGAGGTGTGAACGACTCTCTTTGATCCTATTAAGTGACAAATGTAGAGTGCAAACATACTTTAAACACTTCATCTAGCTCTGGAATTTCCACGTATAGGTGGATGCATGGAATTCTCAATTTGGTTTGGTACTGTCAAGCATGGTGATGAGTTTCCACATGTGTCAGACACTCAGCTGATCAAAAAAAAGCTTCAGGAATTCAGGAAAGAAGGAGGAGGGAGAAGTATTTTGTGGTCACAGTAGTTATGATCTTTAGTTACCCAGAGGGGTTTACTACCACATACTCCCCAGGTGTGTTTGCATCAGTTCTATCATATTTTGCTGCGTTTAATGAAACAAGGAATCCTGAATTGCTAACAAACAAACAATAATATAATTTGGCACATTTAATACATATGTTTATGCCTTCAGATCACGACTGTGTGACCACTGCTTGCCTTTATCCTAATCTCTCTAAAACCCTTACATTTGGTAATGGTCTTGTGGGCAAAAAGCACCCTATTAAGTGACAAATGCAGCATCTTAAACACTTCAGGAATTTGAGGAAAGGGGGAGGAGAGGCCACCATGGGGAGTGTTGGTGTTAAGCTTTTAAACATTAACAAATGGTCCTTTAAAAATTCTTGGGGTTTCACTGGTCATTCCAATAACTTGCAAAGGACCATTTGGGAGGAAAAACAGAACAATCGACACCTGCTGTGTTTATGCTGCAGGGTGTGAATCAAAGTGCTGCTGAAACCACCTCCTCAAGTTGTCTCGGCTGCTGGGCTCAGCATGATTTACTTTGGCATCTCACTGGCCAAACCCAACTTTGTTGTAAAAAAACAACACCCGTATTAACTAATTTAGGTTGGTTGGGTGGGGAGGATTTGTGGTATGTGATAATGATGAGTATAATTTATCACCCAGTGGGGATAATTATTACAAGGAGAGAATTTGTGATCCTTTGAATCTGGGACATAATAACTGGTTGGGACTGAACTCCCCGAATTCTGGAAAATGGTTTCTGGTATTGGGTCAGGATGAAAACAGGAGGAGTCGATTTCTTTTTGTAGTTTAGTCACTAAAATAGACTTTTAACTTCTTTTATGATAGTTAAGATTTATTTTTAAGCTCCTGACTAGCAAAGAAACACATTTTCCACAAATTCCCAGGCCTTGATTTACGATTTTCCCAATCTGGAAAAAGGTCAATGGGATTATATAAATGACAGAAGTGTTGTTGTTCTAGTAATGCTCAAACCTACACTGCACAAGACAGCATGCTTTGCATATCCTCAGCACCATGTAGTAATTCACAGCACATCCTATTCCGTTTCATTAGGAGTATTCCAGTAAACCATTTCTTTCGCCCACAAAATACATTTTACAATATATTCTGTAAAGCGCTTTGAAACGTCTTAATGACGTGATTAGGTGGCATATCAAATGCAAGGATTAATATTCTTATTTCCATTTTCAGCACATTTTAAACTCTGAGGGGAATTTATGGTATGTGATAATTATCATTGTTGCCCAGTCCCAGTCAGCGCAACGGCAGAATTTGCCATTGTTTTAGTCTATATAACTGAACACAATGATTCTAACAATCAAACACAAATAAGTACCTGGCATCTTCTGCTGTCTCCGCAACCAGATAGAAGACACGATCATCCATTACTATGTTAATGCCATTCTCCTTTCCAGCATTGTCAATGATCTCTCTAAAATCAATACCACAAATATAGGAATCAGCACCAGCAAATTATTGTGCAGTTATTTAACAACAGAGTATCTGAGAGACGACAGTCATGTGGGCAGTTCCACCTAAGTCTGGATTTACTCTATTATAGCAGCATTTAGCAAGTTAATTTAGTTTGACTTGAAGAATTTAAGCAAATTGTTGAATTAGGTTTTTTACTTTGATGCTGTTTTTCTGTAGCCTTAAAATAACTGTCAGAAAAACAGCTTCAAAATTGAAGACTTCAGTTAAGAATTTGACAAATTCTGGTTGCTCTGAAATGCCATTTTAACAAGAGCATATTTACACCCATGTGGAATTTGTTCTCCTACGGTGGGTGCATTACTTAGTGGCCTATATATTAAATGATCTAGTTTGATAAAATCATTAGTTCTCTTTACCTTGCAGATCTGATCTCAATAGTTCCTTTCAATTTATCTTCCGTATCATTCTCAAAATACATCAGTTTACCGTCCCGCAGGACAAACCAGCGCTTCTTCCAGTTACGCCTGGACAAAGTTGATGTGCCGCCACCTTTCTTGTGTAGCCAGCCTAGTTTCAAGGCCTCTTGTTTTGCACGGAACCACATGAATGTTTCATCTTTTAAAACACACCATCGCCGTTTCCAGGTATTTATCAAGCCTCCTAAGAAACAAAAATACGAAATGTTAGTCATAAATTGAGGAGCTTCAGGATAAGAAAGGTACAGAAAATTCGTCAGCCAGAAGAAAATATAATATAACCTGGTAGATGGAACAATTCTCCTGGTATTCCTGATGGGATATTTCACTTGAATACATTTTGTATTGTACAACTTTGGTTTATATAGCTCAAAGGAAACACTGGTGCAGCATACTTGAGAAAATTTACTTGGGTCAAGATCTACTTTATTTTCTTACTGTTTGAGAGAATCCAGAATTTGGCAAATGCTAAAATGATATTCGTTAGCTGGAGGCTGGAGTCAAATTTGTTTGAGCGTCTCAGCTACTTACTTGATCAACCACCAGAGCCGGTGTTACACTCTGTGCAAGCAGCGCTATTTCAGTTAAGCTCACCTTTCATAAATAAGAAACTGTGGAAATATGGTAGGCTGACGCAGCTATAGACAGATTCCCGTCGGTAAGCCAGCTCTTCATCAGTGTCAAATCGAGAATCCACGTCATCTTCACTGTCTTCAAACTGCAGCACCGAAGAATTCATAATGATGTGGAGCACAACAGCAGCAGTAATTGTGTAAAAAAATATTGGGAGGGGAGAGGAGGAAAAAAAAATGTAGTATGTTATATCATGATTTGTCATAAGGTCAGAAAATGTGGTCAACCAGAAATTTTAGGTCCAATTCTAGAAATAAACAAGTTTTTTCCTCTCTCTCTGGCTCATTCAGAATTGAATCGTTATTGTGTATTCATTTTGATACAGTGATGGAACAAAGCTCTTTTTTATTCCTAGTCCTAATTAAAACATATTTTTTCAACTTTTTTCAGAATGTTACTTCTGAAATTAATTGTACCTTAATTCTAACTTACCTGGAGAAGAAGCATGAAACCTGTGCTTTCACTGTTCAATTCAAGACATTCCCTGACCCTTATAAATAATTCCGACGACCCTTAAAATCAGGACACCGTCAAGAATTTATTAAGATTGGACCTAAAATTTCTAGTTAACTGGATCTGCTCGATCACCTCTGGATTGGGATTTATAAATTACTCACCGATGATTGTGGCTCTTCTGAGCTCAATCTGTACGCTCCAGAGCTGTTGTACGTTCCTACAGAGTAACGGTAGTGATAGTCTGGGGACCACTGGCTACTGCGGGGATTAGAGAATGCTACACTGCTTCCAGATGTAATAGCTTCATCTTCACGGTTATCCTGATCATAATCAGACTCTTCATCTGGAGGAATCAGCTCTACAGAATCCTGCTGCCCATCAGCTACCTGTTCAGGCATACAGTAAGTGGAGTCTTCAATGGATGGCTTGCTATAGCTGGATTGTGGCTCTCCACTGCTCTCACTTGTCATTGTCGTCACCACTGTATCATTCATATATGGATCCTCTTCTGAAGAGTCGTCACTCGTCCGGATTCCACTGGTGCGCTGATCAAAATGGCCATTCTCACTCGGGTTTGGCGAGTCCTTAAACGCATCATCATCAGCATCGAAGCCCTCATCTTCCTCTTCCTCGGGGTAAGGCTGGCTAAAGTTGAACTTGGGTTTCTCAGCAGGATCAGACACAGTTGAGGTGCTCAGCTCTCCATCGTAGTTGCTGCTGACAGAAAGGGACTTCTCAATATTGCGAACGCACTCATCAATCTCATCAAAGTTCAGGGACTCCAGGAACTCCTGAGCTGCTTTGCAGGCCTCGTCTTCCAGACGCTTTAGCTCCTCATCCCTTAGTTGCTGGAGATGAGAAAGTGAATTCTCATTGAGTGTTGATTCATGGCGCTCCTTCTTACGCTGCAGCTCTTCAATCTCTCGCTCTAGCCGTAGGATCTCCTCAACCTGCCTGTTCTCTTGCTTTTCCAGGTGGTTATTTTGCTCAGCTTTCTTCTGAGCTTCCAGAAGAGCTGCTTGTTCCTGTTGCCGCTGTGCTTCCATTGCCTGTTGTTAAAAAACAATTACAGAACAGAGGCTTCATTAGATTCACAGGTAATCAGTTTAACTTGGTAAAATTATTTTCTATTTACAGCTTTAATAATTCAAGCAACCATAAGCGGGGTCTCCTTGGTGCTGAACCTTCTCCAAGTTGACATGCCAGGCAATGGAATGTCAGAATCGAGCCAGCCCTCTGTGGCAGTCTCAGTAGTCCGGTTCCTGAGCCAGGCGGGTCCGTAGTATTGCAAGGCACTGCTGATGACAGCACAGCCAGCCTGGCTCATCAACAAGACCTGGAAGGGCAGACTAGTCACTGGGGGCAGGGAATCCTCCCACTTAGCTCCTGTTAACCCTGCAAGCCAAAGCCCTAACAGGTAGGGTGGTCCTAGCTGGACAAGCAGTTGGAAAGCTTGCCAGACAGCAACATCAATGGCAAGCTATGCACTTTTAGCTGGTTAGACTCCAGCAGTACCCCAATGCACACTCTGGGGTCCCCAAGCCTTGGCTCTTGCCAACCTGTACCTAATACTTTCCAGAATTAGGTAAGCAGGATGTGTCGCTCCAGGGAGAGAGTGCGCATTCCATTTCAATAATCTATCTCTGGGATTTTCAGGTGTAGGTGGAATGGATGGATATCTCAGCTTGGTTTGTATACTCTTAAGCATAGTGATGGGTTTCCGCATGTGTCAGTCACCCAACTAATCCCCCCAAAAAGCAACCACACAAAGTTGAAAATAACAGCTTGTTCAGAAAATTACAAACAAAAAAAAATATTCGGCACCCTTGTGATTTCCTAGATGTTAGACTACACTCTTTGAGTCAGAATGTTGTGTGTTCAAGCCCTATGTTGGGATTTTGAGCATATAGTCTAAGATGACACTTCAATGTAGTGTTGGGTTGTGCTGTATTATTGGAGGTGCCGTCCTTTGGATGAAATATAAAACTGAGGCCCCATCTGCTGTTGACGTTAACAATCCCTCTTTTCTCGAAAAGAGAAAATTGATCATTCACTTCATAGTTTGTGGGAAACTGCTGTGCGCAAATTGGCTGCCGCATTCACCTACAAATACAACCATTATACTTTACAGAAAAACTCTTATAATGTGTTTTGAAATGTTTCAACATACATGATAAGATCCTATATTAAATGCAAGGACTATTATTCTTTTAACACACATTATTTTCCAGCATCATTATCAAAATGTTGAACTTTTTTTTAAACTGTAATGATCCTACGAAAGGGAAATAAATCATCAAAAAACAAAATGTGACCGAAAATAACACAGTAGTATGCTCATCTGCAGGAATGTCAGCAAAACTATAATAAACTACAACAAAGGAGACTGTGTAGAACAGAGACGATGAGTATCATTTGGATTATGGTTCTGATCTTTCATTAATCCAAAGAGTCAGAAAATAAACATTTTGGATATGATTCAGGAAAACTAATATCCACAGATGATTAATTACCTGCTGTGCCAGGAGCTCTGCTTCTCGTTCTTGCCTTTCCCTATGAAAGAGAGGTGTGAAAATATAATGAGGTGTCAGTGGAACCTTACAGGCCCTGTGTTGGGAGAGGAACAAGTGAGAGTTTGTAAATTCACAGATTATTTTTACAATTTGGATTATAATTAGGGCCCGTCTTGGATCTCAGTAACCATAACGGCAAAAACTTAACCAAGCCATAATGTTAAACTGTCCATCACATGCCAAAGTTCTACTACATTTCCAAGTAACATTTGAAAACAGATAAAACATTCTTTATTGCAGTCTCAAGCTGACCTTTCTTCTTGTTCCTTCCTTCTCTGCTCCTCTTCCACTCGCCTCTTGTCTTCAAGCATTTGTTTATAAATCCTGCGTGCGAGCTGACCTCGCCTGTGCTTTTGCAATGCAATTGCAGAAATTTGTAGACATTGGAATTTCCTTCTCCAGAAGAAAGCTCGGTAGTTTTTCTGAATCACAACAATATGGTTGAGCACCTTTTTGTATTGTTTTCTGTTGGGGGTGGGGAAAGAGGGCAAGAGGGAAAAAAGAAAAAAATGAAGAATACAAAAATCACAAAGTATTTCAAAGCATTATATTTCAAAACATACTGTTGTAAATAAAGCTAATAAAAATATGAATTAACCCGAGAGCTCTGGAAACAGATAACCAGTTGAACAGCATCTGAAACTTCCTTTAGCATCAAGAGCTTTTCTTTCAGTTGCGGCACTGTGATACGTGCAAGAATGGCATTGATACCTACAGAGGTTGTTATCCCACCTTCTCAAGAGGTCATCAATGTATAGAAAGTTTATAGATCCTGTGTGAAAACTTACCTCGCCTGTGCTTTTGCAACGCACAAAGTTCAGGACTTAGAAACTGTGTCCATGTAACACAGGACCTGGGTACCTGTGCAGTTGGTTCCATATTATTGCTAGTGTCTTTTGTTCCACTTTACAAATCCAGGCGCCATGTAACTTCAGAACCAGCTCTATTTGATGTCACCTCATGGCTGCATGTGCACATGGAGATCCGAGCACAATGCACTATAAATACAGCAGTGGCAGGAGGATCGGAGAACTCCAATACTTTCCTGTTCTCACTGGTCTTCCTACCTCCAATATGTAAACTAAATATGGATTTAAACCATTGTTCAGACCAAAAGGTGACTCATGTAAGACCAGAGGGGGGATCAGACCCTATTCCTGCAACTTGTGCTGAAAACGTGACTTGAAATTTTTTTTTGGGGTGATGAGATACTATTCATTAATATATTTTGACCCATATTACACATTAAGGATTGTTTTATCAAATGGTTCAGATTGGAATGTGAGCAACTATTGCCCCATTTACACTGATTAACAAAGAGAAATACAAGTGTAAAGGGCAGCCTGAGCATAAATCAAACACCGTGCAAGATTCAACATATTGCAGTCATAGGTTGAGTAACCTACCTTGCCAAATAGCCAAGGACATGAGCCTGGATGATCATAGCAGCTTTGGTGACCTTCACCTCACGTTGTCTCTCTAGTTTATGTTCAAGGGACTCTCGTAGAAATACCTAAACAAAGCAGAATATAGGAGAGTTCTGTTACTTTGCTGTATTACTTTCATGCACTAGCCAGAAAATAACTTCCCAGCACGTCAGTCATTCATGTGGAACATTTGTTATTGCACTTTGAGACGTTTCAACAACATGATAAGGTGCTGTGTCAAATGTAAGATTATCATTATATATTTCAGGTTAAATGCACAAACTTAACATTTCTGAATTCTTCAGTCAATAAATATGGTTGAACTGCATTCTATCACACTTTGTTATAATGGGCACCAGGCGGCTGGCTTCCTGCACATCGGCCACTCTCCCCCACATTTTAAATTGTCCACTTCCAGGTCATAATATTAATAATAATATGTGCATTTGATATAGCACCTTATGATGTCTTTGAGACATCTTAATGCGCTTCAGAAAATATACTGTAAAGTGAATTGACTGTATATTTTGTGGGCTAAACGTGGCAGACAATTGCGTACAGCAGTGTCCTACAAATAATAGTGGATGAGTGACCAAATTAATATTATTATATTTATTTTGAAGGAAAAGTGATCCGCCAATCGACTAACAAATGGTTCCTACTTACTGTTAGGTAAACAGAGGCGTGTGAAATAAGGAAACTTGTCTAAGGTTTTTGCTCCACCCAGGAACCGAACCCGGGTCCTCTCACTTGTGAGGCAAGTGCTTTAACCACTACATTACAGGATTCCAACTCATTATGTCGCTGTCGACAGGACTTCCTGTGTGTTGCATACACACAATGTACATTAAGTGTCAGCAGTTTCTGATGACCTGGAAAGTATCTGGCTTTCTGCCCACGTACGCAGTGGCACATAACTACCATGTTATAAAAGGGCTTTACTGTATTTGGAATTTGTACATATTATGAAAGAATAAAATTAAACTGATGGGGTTCAAGTCAAAGTAATAACACATGTAGAGGGTTTAGTTAATAAACCACTTGTCTCTCTAGGTTTAGAATACAATTTGAACCACTCAACATGTTACTGCTTCAAAGTACACTTCACATGGTCTATTCTCGCATATTTATTACTTTAGATTAAATACATCAGCTTGTGCATTAGGTTACTTGGATATAATTTTGATTGATTGTAAGCCATAAAGGATAGGAACAGCTGGAGTTTCTTAATGTAATAAGAGTATAACTTTGATTTGACAAGGAGGTTCTCATTTGAACAACGGGAATAAAATGTCAGAAACTGCTGTATCAGGGTCCTGCACTTGGCTCTGTGAGCCGATCCCCATCCTCGTCTGGTTCTACTGGCCCCTCATTCCCCAGAGGATTGAGTTCAAGATCCTCATCCTCACTTTTAAATTCCTCCATGGTCTTGTCCCACCCCACGTCTGTGACCTTCTTAAAAGTGCAAACCACTCCCTCCACTCAGCAGGCACTGGTCTGGTTTATGTCCCTGCCATGCCTGCCCCCACATTGGCACTCAGGCTTTCAGCCTATCTGTTCTCCACCTCATCTCATCTTGCCTCCCCCCTTTCCCTCACCTCCTTCAAGGTCCATTTCAAGGTCTTTTTCTTTGACTGCATCTTTCCCCTCAGTGTTCTGGGCTCGGTATGGGAACACGCAGGGTTTCTATGCCTGATCATTGCCCAGAAGTGCTGGTGGAAACTGTATGTGTCTACAGTGTATTCCAGTAGTCTGGACTCACATATGAAAAATGGCCAATTGAATGTTGGGCACCATTTAATACCTCGCCCAGGAAAGAAGAGCCAGGGGAAGTTGGTGGGGGGGATATTAAATCAATATTGTGCTGTAATGCGTTTAATGAACAAGAGTTTGATGACAACTTATGTAAAGCCAGCTTGGTATCTCTATTTATTATGGATCATGACGATCTCAAGTACATTTAATTTTCAGGGATTAGCAATCCCCTGCTGTTTTGCCAATATCTCCAGGCTCCCATGTGAACCTGGTCAATGCTAATAACATGGAATCAGCACAATAATACTGAACCTCCAGGGGGATTAAACTGAAAAGAACCAGATCTGTTTCATTCAATCCACCACTAAACATATGGGCAGTAGAAGAAATATATGAAGTGGTTTAATATGATTGCGGTGCCGAGGTACAGTTCACTGATAACTCCCACCATGCCAACTGTGTTTATAGGGGTGAAGGCAGAATCATACACCCAGACATCAGACAGAGTCAGCAGAAGAACATTTATTTGTAAGGAAGGCAGTAGGCTGTTCGGTTAAAACCAATTCAAGGGTGGCTTTTTTTTAACATGGATATGGAGTTGCAATTTGTAATGTGGTATCGTTGATATTGATTCCGAGTCGCAAACAAGAAATTCTGCCAGAAGTGCATCACTTTCTGAAGTGTTTTAAATAGATTGTGAAGATGTGATTTGATGGGTTTTAAATGTCAGCCGGGCTTGATTGCTAACCTCCTCTGAGACATAAGGCTGAAAATTCAAACCCGCGTCAGGACTTTAAGATCACAGTCTAGACTGACAATCCAGTGTGGTGGGAAGACTGCATTGTTAGATATGCAGTCCTTTGAATGAGACATTAAACTGAGATCCCTTCTATCTGTTTGTTTGGTTTTTAAGAATTCAATGGGACCTTTGGAAAAGAAAAGGCAGTTTCTCCCGGTGTCCTGACCAACAATTCTCCAGAAAGAATTGATCATTAACTTCATAGCTGTTTGTGGGACATTGCTGAACTCAAATTGACTGTTAAGTTTGCCTACATAATAATAATAATAATAATAATAATAATAATAATCCTTGCATTTGATATAGCACCTTATCACATCATTGAGACGTCTCAAAGCACTTCTCAGAAAATACTGTAAAGTGAATTGACTGCATATTTTCTGGACGAAACACGGCATTCCAATTGCACACAGCAGTGTCTCACAAACAGTCGTGGATTGAGTGATCAAATTATTGTGATTATTATTTTTTTCTTTAAAGGGATTATTACCCCTGGAAAGCGATTCGCCAATCGAATATCAACTGGATTCCTACTTACTACTAGGTAAACAGAGGCATCTGGAGTAAGGAAACTTGCCTACGGTTTCGCCCTGCCTGGGAATCGAATCTGGGTCCTTTCGCTTGTGAGGTGAGTGCTCTAACTAATACTCTACAGGACTTCACGATACTCAATACACTTTTCAGTAAAATCCAAACTATTATTTCTTCCCGTTTTCTCCATTTATAATTTGTGTCAATATTAATTATTCCTGTTACAAATCATTTCAAATTAGATTGATTTTCTACCATCCAGCAATTAATACCACAGTACTTCACAGGGAATAAAGAAGTCTCCATCTGGTATTTACCTTTGTTTTCCCCAGCTGCCAATCCATGTTGGTGTTGTCATAGAGATGAAGCAGCGCAGCACACTTTTCCTTCACATCTTCTGGCAGATCGAGGTTTTGCATCAAGACTTTATACCTGAAGAGAGAAGCCCATGAACTCAGCCTGCACTGTTCACTAAATATACATCTTGTAAACTGTACAGCCATCAAGTCAATTTGCAGCCATTAGCAGGTTGATTCACCAAAAGCAGTTAAGTTCTATCTCAGGATACAAATTCCAGGAAACTACTGGTACTAGAGTGAACGATTGGTCCTATATAATTTTTTGTGCCCAAACTTTAACGCATGAAAATTGTTCTGTTTCAGTGTTATTCTCCAGCAGACAGCAGAACTGTAGTCAATCAGAAGCCGTTTTCAGAATGAATCCGTGACTTCAGTTTAACATGCAGTGTTAACTGCTGCCTGGACATGTTGGCCATATTTAAAGACTGATTTGAACAGGAATTGTAACCCCAAAAGCATGTCAGTTGCGTCGTGGGGGGAGGGTGTGTGTGTGTGTGTGTGGGGGGGGGTGGTGGGTGGACTGGAGATGAGAGCAGAAGCCAGTTGAGACTGAATTCTTGGAGCTAGAATGTCACGGCTGAGATTGCAATGAGAGTTCGGACACATTTGGTCCTTCCAGCCTCCCGGCTGTCCCTTTTGTCTGCCGTCTTTTCCCATTAATAATAATAATCCTTGCATTTGATATAGCGCTTTTCACGTCTTCTAGACGTCCCAAAGCGCTTCACAGAATATGCTGTAAAGTGAATTGACTGTACATTTGTGGGCGAACGCGGCAGCCAATTGCGCACAGCAATATCCCACAAACAGTCGTAGATTGAAAATGACCAATTTATTATTGTTTTATTTTGGAGGGATTATTATTAGGCGTGTGGAGTAAGGAAACTTACCCAAGGTTTCGCCCTGCCGGGAATTGAACATTAGCAGCAACAGCACCAAGCTCAACAGCCTGAGCCAAGTTCACAAGCAGTATGTCACTGCCATTCACTCCATAGCTCTTTCTGGGACATTCCTATGTGCAAATTGGCCAACCCGTCCGTGTACAAAATACAGTCACTACATTTTACAGTAAGTCATGTGAAGGCTTTGATGTGAAAGGCGTTATATAAATTGTTCACAAATGATACCTTGCATGAAAGTCCTGGAAGGGCCTTCTGACCGGAAATCCAGCTTGCCGTATTTTCACAGTTTCTAACATTCCTGAATACCGCAGCTGGTTCAGCACCACAGTTTGGTCAAACTGATCTGGCATCTGAGAGGAGAGGCAAACCAGAGAACAGAATTACTCAATCTGACATCGGGAATTGCAGAGTAATATTGAACCCCAATGGGAAAATTTATTGCCTCTGATTATTTATACATTCCAGCTGCTAAAGCATTTTTCTCTGCGTGATGAACATTAAAATTAGATTTTCCTGAGGCATTCCAGACATCGCCATATCGAAGTTTCACTAACATAAGACATGATTGCATAAAGAACAAGGTACGATAATGTTATGGAGGCACTGATGATACAAATTGCTTTCAGTCAAAATTTAAACTTTCCTATATTTATAAATAAGATGAAATCATGTGGGTGAATGTTTGTGGTGGGGGTGTGTGTGGTGCGGGGAAGAATAGAGCTGGCACAGTATCCGACTCAGCTGTGTTGTCTCCCTTAGTGCAATATCTGACATTCACTGTAATGTTCACACAAGAGGAATGGACACTTTGGCTTTTCTGCAGGGAGATTATTCAGAGGTGCTGAACAGTGCCCAATTCCTGTGGAACCGTGCCCCAGCAGAACGAATGAGTCAAAATGCCCCTGGCAGAGAGGGAGGAAGAAAGGAAAAACGAGAGGGAGAGAGAAAAAAAGAGGAGAAAAAGAAAGCAGAAAATAACACTGCAAAAGTCTGAATTGCCAATATGCTGCAATTTTCAGAAAGGGATGCTGTAAAATAAATTGCTCACAACAGCCATCATGTTGAAACAGACATTTGTGAAGAGGATCCAGTGTCATATCCAGAAATATTACTGTAAATCAATCCTCGTAAGCACAAAAAGAATAAGAAAGAGGCTGTTGCACTGGGAAGAATAATCTTTTCTATATTAATATCTAAAAGTTTCCTTTAAATCTAAAAGTGTTGTTGAAAACAATTGAAAGGTCTTTGCCTCTGCACAGTTTCACAGTCATTTATCCATTGTTCTTCTTTCACATTTCATTATTCATATACTAAAGTAATCAATCAGGCAGACAAAGGATTCAAACACCTCCCCACCCCCTCTTCTATAACTAGTCGCTAGAGAACAGATCATTGTTCAAAGCTTCACTGTGCACACAGGACCAAAGAGAGAAAAAGAAAATCTCCTTGTGAGAAGCAATAGCACAGCTCTGAACACTAAAATGAGCAGGGAAATTAGACTCATAATGGGTTCCACAAATCCACAGGTACCATCAGCAGCAAATCAACCAGCAGGTGGGGAGATTTCATCAAGGTGAGTGAATCAGACACTTTGCACTCCTTACTCTTTTCCCTTCCCATCCCAACCACTGCCTCACCTCATGGCACTCACATTCCGCACTCACTGGCCTGACCAAGAACTTAAGTAACATATGCAGGGGACTCCATACACATGAGGCAGTAGAGATACATCAGCTACCTGAGCTGTTTCTTTGTCCTCTCTTTTGGTTTTGAGCAGTTACGCACCATTCCGCCCTTTCAATCATTCAGTAGTTTTATGGCTGGTTTAAGACACCCAATAAGTTACTAATCTTTCAGGGATCGATGTAATCACCTAAAATCTGACTTAAAAGTTTTTGCTCCCAGAAGGAAACAAAAACTAACACACTTTCTAACTGACCCTTAAGCAAAAGCACAGCAAGACTCCCATTTTTTAAAGAAAGCTACAACCATAGGCAAATAAGATTAAAAAAAAAGTTCAAGTTCTCCTTGTTATCTGAAGCTAAAGTTAAATACTTACCAAGCGGTAGAGTGAATATAATGTGCCCAGTTCACCAGCTCCTTCAAATCTTTAGTTGAATTCCATACGTAAAAGCTAAGGATTGCGACTGCCCTGACCTCGCTCAGACAAGCAGATAAACTGAACAATACTAAAGTCAGTCTAGCAATTTAAAAGTGACTAGTTTCTATGACAACGCTTTCCATGCTGAGGGTAATTAGTGGCTTGTACTGGGAGGGCTATTGGACTGCAGCGAGAGCAGTACTGGTCCAGTAATATTCAACAGTCACCAAAAGGGCGAGCTTCAACAAGTCACCTATTGAGACAAAGCAGCTGTGGTCTTCACACCAATTTCAAGGGAAAGCGACAGAGAGAGAGAAAGCGAGAGAGGTCCAGCTGACAATTTTGCAAGCCTACTACAGCAAATATTTGTTCTCTCCAACCCTCGCCCTTTTCTACGCTGTATGAGCCTATCTAAAATCGATGTGTGAAGAGAGGGCTGCTAGTTATATCATTGAAAAGCAAATAAGAGTCCGCGAATATGTTTGAGAACGCATCAACCTTAGGCCCTTCAAGCAGCCACGTAATGGGCATATGTCTTATCGGAAATTGCAGTAAGGCAGATTCTCTTGATCATAGAGTATTGGAAATCAATAGCTAGTTTTGAAAGACTATTTCCACTTGGCAGTGTATCTGTAACAAGAGTATTACAAAGACCTGTTCACATAAGGAAGGACACTGGCACTATAAGTGAGAGAGTACTAAAATGGGGGTGTTTATAATGGGGTTTTGCTGTGGTTGGAGCAAAAGCTGGGTTTTTCTTTAATAATGGGAATCCAGTTATATAGCAAATACACCATAGCACTAGTGGATGGATCCCTGTTGCATCTGAGGTGATAGCACATGAGTGGAGCTCTCACACAATGCCAGTCAAAAAAAAACTTGCCCCAAATCTCTTCAGCACACTGCCATCACCATCTTTAACTTTTCACAGATAAGTGATGTGAACATCTATTTGAACTCTCAAACAACATGATGCTTGCCAAGGGTTTACCTATTGCAAACAGGAAAGAAATGAAGGAATCAGAGGTTTTAAAAAAATGTTCATTAGCATCAAAGTGTTCTCAAACAAGTATGGAAATGGGTCAATGTACACAGCTATACCCAGGGGGTTCAATGAGATTTAAAAAATAATCCATCAGCACCGGGTACATTTTATGTTCAGTCCTTGGTTAAGTAAATGTGGGGCGCAGTACAGATCATAGGTTTGAAGTAACGATACTTTTTATCTTCGCTAGGGTAAACATGTAAAGGTGAAACATAGTTTATTGGACAGTGGGACATTTCTCCAATTCCCTCATTTCTCTCCACAAAGCTCTTGTGGTCCTTTGACCTCAAGTGGGTGAAGACAACTGTCAAAACTTGCTCACAGGCTTCAGCTGACCACCAGGAGGTGTTTTGCAGAAACCAGCAATTCCTACACCTTTGATTCTTTATTCTAGTCGGGAAGTTACATGTGCGTACATGTTTCAGGGGTGGGAGAGGGTTATGGAATTATTCATCAAACCCGTGGCTTTTTCGCTTTGAACTCACAGTCTTTGCTGACTCTCCAATGCAATACTGGGTGTGTGCTGCATGATCAGAGGTGCTGTCTTATGAATGAGGTCTCGTCTGCCTATTCAAATAAACATTAAAGGTTTCATGGCACTATAGACACGATCAGCATATTCAAATTTCTATTCAAAAAGAGAAGGGAGTTTCTCCAGTTGTCCTGGTCATCAAATCCCCCAGATAAAAATTGTCACTCACTTCATGGCTGTTTAAGGGACATTTCTGTGTGTAAATTGGCTGCCACAACTTGCCGATAAATTCACTATCACTACATTTGACAGGAAATCATATGAAGCGCTTTGAAATGTTTTGATGACCTGATAACCTAACGATTATTGTTTTCCCAATTAAAAGACTTCTGCTGTCCCCTTTCCCCTCTTTTGGTTTCTGTGGGAAGCACAATCTGTGGTTCACCGGTCAGCAGGGATCCCTGTCTGTAGGCCTGAGCAGACACAGCTCAGTACCCAGCTGCTCTGAGATGTACAAAAACAGCCCAGTATAACTCACGCTCCAATGTGACCTCCCACACCACACAGAGGGAAGTCTCTTTGGAGGGAAAACAACATAAACTGATGCCCCAACCATTCTTCGATATAGGCCACTGAAACACCAATACTGCTTTCCTCACAAAAATATCCCTGGGGTTTCTGCAAATGTGTAAATGTCTATTCAAGAGGGTTGTAAGTCTGGGCAGAGAAAACATTATGCAGCAAAATGACAAATGGAATCGTGCCAATTTGTGTCACAAAGCAGTTCATTTTTTTTCTTCACTTTGTGCCCATACTTGAGTTGCTAATTTAGTCCTAATACACTTGGAAGTGCAAAGCTGGAATTAAAAGGCTTTGACTTTCTAAAGAGAGTCGTCTGCAAGCACAATGGGAGCAGGGAGCACAACCGCTTCCTCGGTCATTCTCAAAACCTTCGAATTCACCAGAACCCAATAGGCAAGGTACAGCCACACAGAGCAGGCTCCAGCTGGGGTCTCTCACAGACCCTCCTCCCCACCTGTGAATAATCTGTCACAGCTTCACCGAGGTCAAACTAATTAGAGCAAGTTTCCTGTGACACAGACATCACCCGCACTGCTGCCAGCAGTCAGCATTCTGTGCCGAAGTTTCTCTTGGACCATCCTTCCCTGCTGTTGAACGTCCATGAAAATGGTGTTTAAAAACTAATTAACAGCCAGCTGTCTCCTGAGGACACCTTGTCTGGCTTATGGTCCTCAAAGTCACTTTTATTTCTATGGCCGGAATGACAAGAACAAAACCACTTGTCTGGACCCAAGTGTGTTTCATTTTGTGATACAAAAGGCTTGACGTTAATTACCAGATGTACCCGTGCATGTCCAATACCTTGCAAATAGTAAATACATCCAAGTGTTAAAACTCCAAATGTTACAATGGCATACATTTTCCTACACTTGTTCTTTTTGATTCAAGGACATAAATGTATTTTTTAAATGTTCAATGTGCCTTAAAGAAGAAGAAAAATAAAGGGAGAGAAAATCCCACCAGCCTATGAATTTTGCCTTAGAACAAATACGACTTTTGAAGACAAGTCCATAAGTGCTTTGAATACTTGAGAATTTATTTTAATGAAAGGAAATGTAGAATGAGCAAGGGGAAGTGGGTAGGGTACAGTAGAGAAACAATTATCTGCACTAATTGGGAGTGGCTGTTTCTGGATAAGAAAATGTTACAT